GGTCCACATTATCTATCCATATTTTTCCATCGCGGAGGACGGAATTACAACTTACAGGCGTATTTTTATTTTTACGCACCTGTAACTGCAAGACATAAAGTCATGACTCATGAGTATCTACATAGCATCTAGATAGTGTCTAATTTATCTATACAAATATCTCTATAATGCATAATGCATGGACAGAGGATTCTGATCAATATTGTAGATTGTTTGTTTTGATACTTCTGTGAACAATTAATAATAGAGATACCCCTTAAGGTCTTTAGTGTGTTGTTTTGCTTCCGTACCCCGAAATCCCTCTCCTTTTCAAGAGTCTTGGCTGTGGCCTGGCTTCTATTTTGAAGGGGTTCGCCGTCATTTAACTCGGTCAAATTGGCTGTGGCCCCCTATTGCGTGTCGTGACTGTCATCTCAATTCTCCTATCATTTTCCTTTTTCAGGCGAAAGTACGAGAGGTACCCAAGCGATCATCAATGTTGTTCTCGAAAAGTCCTAAAGTGATTACTATGTCAAGCGTTTTGACTTTTGGCTAGTGAGTTATTTGTAGGACATATGACTAATCTCACTAATGCCACATTGACGCGGTCTATCAACTTTGAATTTTGGACTGCCGCTCAGATGTCAGTATATTTATCCTCACTAATTCTGTAATTTTACGGTGCGTTCCATATCTCCAAGTACGACACTCTAGTCTACGCAGAGAGAGGCGACAGATACTTACGAGATGGTGAAAAAAAAAAATACCCGATAGTTGACACCTTTGCAAAGGTGGGCTGTGGGCTCACTGCGTCAGTAGTGGATCCGCGTCGGTCAGATCAACCGTGAACTGCTGTGGAGACTAAAGTACATGGTCAAGTCAGATCGACATCCTTGGCCCCTTGGGCAGTGGTAAATTCCTAATTAGGTTATCCTTCTAGTACCATGCCTGATTGAAGGGACATCTGACCTTAATAGGTAATCAGTCTTTCAATCATGAAGGTGCATACTTTCTGCTCCTTATGAAATAAGTAGGTGCACTCTCACTTTCTCTGCAACTTGCAAAGGAATGATAGATGGAAACTTGCTTCAGGAGTTTTGTGTCAATTCGAAACCTTTCTTCAGGTTGCTATTATTTTGATCGACACTAAAATGTGGTCCAGGTCAAACCTAACATTTTTTGAGGTTCACCAACTTCACTCATATAGAGGCTAACTTCCGACGATATTTACTGCGCAAGCCTTGCGATAGGAAGTGATTCAAGGGGGGATGATTGCTGGAAACCTAAAGTCAATACTCTGTACGGACTAGAGCGTACCTAGTGTTGCAGCTGGACATTAATTCATCCTCCCACGTCAAATCTCAGCCCCAACTCCTCATGTAGTTTCAGAACCTAAAATTGGAAATATCAAGCTTTCCTGCGAGCTCTCCAACTGTACGATACTGCGAGGCAGGCACTCATCATTTCTCTCATAATGATATATATGCAGTCATCATTGTCCCGGCTTACTCGTTGAGGCCTAAAGTCGATATTGGAGTGTACACCGCCAACTGAGAAACGCGGCATGGCTGAGCAGCAGGGCGAGGATACCTTTAATACTAGTCACTGTAACACAAGGCTCGACTTGATCATGTACTCAGTACTTCTATTCCTGTGGACTCGTGCACAAAGGCGAACCTCTCACACCTTTCCCATTTTAGTATGACAAGCACTCATATAGACTGTTCCACCCCTGTCTGATAGCGGCTTGTCTTGCCATGCAATGCACCACATACTCGATAGGACCAGGGTGCGTCGCTAGCTGTCTCAAAATAGCATTCTCAACCATAGCCTCGTACGAAGCAACGAGTCCTCAATAACCCAAACCATTTGACATGAAATTTCGCAAATGGTTGATTGATAGAACATATCGATGACTCAGCGTCATGTGACTTCGTGAAGGGCAGCGCGCGCTCAATACGTGTCAGGCGTCGATGCGGAGCAGATAAGCCGATATGTTCAGTTGCGCAAGCAGGCCGTGTGGTGATGTCAATCTAGAGAAGAGTGTGGATGAAAAACATGTCCCAGCCGCGCAATATTACAGATTTCTTCAAGCGGCCAGCTTTTTCGCTGACGAAGCAAGACATTCACTCTGAGAGCAACCCAAGCGAAGCTCTTACTGCGGCACCACAGTCTTCACCCCTCACCGAGCCCTCCTCGTCGTTCCTAGCAAACGGTGACTCTCCACAAACCCCAGATGGACCAACCTCGCAGCTGAAAGAGACTTTACTATCATCGGTACAGGACACCTCTGCAAAGCCAACGCCTCAGCAGAGTTTCCAAAGCAGTAACTGGACTGTTGTCGGCGACCCATCTTCAGGACTAAGTTTCAATTCATCCCAGCGGATCCTCAAGAACGGGAAGGAAGTCGTCATTAGCTCTGATGGAGAGGATACAGACTCAATAGCATCTTTTGAGCAACTAGAAGATCCTCTGTTGATGTTCATGAAACCCAAACCAACGGCAGGAAGCGAAACGAGAGAAGCCGGGAACAATATTGGCGACTCAGGGATGGCGTTGCATTTGCAAAGACTCAAAGATACGAAGAAGTCTTCGAACCCCAACTCCTCGAAAGTCTCTGTCCCGCAATACAAATTCTCACTCGATGATCTTGTGACCCAAGCAGTGGGTGATAACGAAACCGAGGCAACCATTGCAAGATTGAAAGCCGTGCGCGAGGATGAGAGTTCTTCAAAACTCGGCGCTGCTCCTAGTAGGCATCTGAATGAAAGAATGTTGGCATCAGCACTCGGTGATCAGGATGATGAGCTAGGATTACAGCGTCTACTTGATGCCGTCAGAAGAACAGAGGCGCTCGAAATAGAGAAATTCTGGTCATTTTTTAACTACGAGGCAAAAGCTCTGCCTGCCTTGGAATTCCCGCGAGAGTCTATAGCTCCGGGAACATATTTGGCGGTATTGCGAGGTTTGTAATTCATCTGGTATCGGCTTCTGGCTCAGTTTCTAGTGGTCCTGACTAGAACACAGAACCGGGATCGAGGGAGCGAGCCTCCCACTCTGGCACTCTTGAATTCGCTCTATCCAGAGCATATCTTTCTGATGAGCTGATTTCTTGGATCTTTCATTCGGGTCAGTATCTATTTGTGGTGGATTCGTCCGTATTGCTCACCATGTTCAAGTGCCTTGCGAGCCTCGGGAGAGCTTGAGGCATGCGTATTGTAGGCTTCTCAAGGTGTGTAGGTCCATCCGTTCATTGTCGATTATGTATAACTTACTAGATGACTTTACCAGCATGCTACCGCTGAACGCATAAAATCCCTGTTTCGACCGGACGATATCAATAGGCTCTTTCAACGGCTGGGCGCCAGCCGCAAAGCGCTGGATGTTTCTGAACCGGTTGTCCCAGAACCAGCACCTCAGAGTAAGATTCTCGGTGGATATCTCCTATCGCTTAAAGTTTAACAACTCGCAGACAGTCATTCGCGAGAAACACCTCAGCATCTGGCGTGCTTGCTATCAGTCTTGGAATTACTTCGCGACGCCGCAGAACTGTACGTTGATTTTATCTTGCTGCAACGGTCGTGCTTACACTGCAATAGATTTGCCGACGATACCAGGGAACATCTACTGAATATTCTCTTTCGTCTCGCGCTCGACATTTCCCTTACAAGCAACGCTATTGTTTGCTCAGACTTAGAGAAGACTATTACGGCAGTTATGGAGAGCGTCCCAGAGGACACGGCTGATAGTTTAGTGAGATCCATGGCGCTTTGTGGCGTAAAAGCACCCACTAACTGAAATTCAAGTTGCACCGTGTCTGCATATCTGCCTACAACACCTTCAGAGACTCCGTACTGCAGAGTCGCCTTCTGAAACATATTTTACCTACCTCAAGTCGGATCGCGGCGCTGAGGTGCCGTCTCGCACTGGCATTCTTAACGAGCGACCCAGCCCGACTGACCGAGGCTCCTGACGTAATGAGCGATCTGAAGATGATTATCAACCTTTTGAAGGATCGGCGATTTAACATCAACCTATATAAAGGAAAAGGCAATCCTGAATATGACTACGGAGAACTCGGTGCAGTGACAGCGCTCCTCAACATTGCCATTGACTCGGGATGGTCTGAACTAGCATTTCCAACGAGAGATGCCGAGAAAGAGTTTAATGCCGATGTTGACAGGCTTGCTGATCGGGTCAAGAAGATCTTCGTGTCGATTCAAGACTCAGGCGCGTCTCATCTCAAGCGGACTTTGGCCAAGGAGGCCCTCGAAACTTTGCACTACCGCATTGTCTATTCTGTGAGGTCGAAACCGCCTCCGAAGAAAACGTTGTTTGGCCATTTCGGGGCTGAAAATGGACTTGCTAAATGTGATATGAGGAAATGGGTAGAGCCGAGGAGTGGGGAAGACAAGAAAGACACCCAGATGCCTATTCGAAGTCATGAACATCCTTCTTGATCTTTCAACGTTTCTCGAGACGACCAATACCTCAATTCAGACTCTAGCCAACCAACCAACGGCCCCCCACCATTTCTGTTCTCTCCCGTGATGAGCAAGCCTTATCGGGTTCGAGAGGCCATTTTCGAGATCACAAAACCAATTCTGATGGGATTTCAGACCGTTGCAACTGCCGCTGATATGGGCCCGACGAGTGGCAGCATAAAGGCCGATGGAAAGCAAAGTGGCGCTACCGTGCAAGTTGCACCAGGTCTCCCTACTGAGCTGTGGGAAAGAATAGGGCTCTCAAGAACCTAGAATAACGACGCGATGATCTTTATGCAGCCCGGCGTTGCCATTGCACTTGTATCTATTGTATAAAGAGCAGTATATATCATCACCCATCCCTGCCGGGATAAAATAAGGGAATAGAAAAAAGAGATTGTGTACAAAGCTATGCTGATTCCGAATAACAAAGTTCGAGAAAAAGATGAAGGATGGACCACAGGTTATACGGACAGAAACAGCGGGAAATAAAACGAAAACAGTGCAGCAATTGTGAGCAAGAGACCCTCACCCTTCCTAATCATAAAACTTCCGGTTTGCGTTCTTTCCAAATAGTGTCTCTCTGACGGCAGGCAGAGCGTCAATCTCAAGCAAACGCAGGCGCTCCTCGAAGGTGTTGTTGATCTCAATCTTGCCCTGGCCGCCAACAATGAATACACCGCCAGCGCTAGAAATGACCAGTTAGAACGATAGATAATCACTAGAAAGGAGAAGGCGATAGAACGTACGATCCTTCCGGCAACGGATCGGCCTCGTCCAACTCCGCCGTCGTTTCCTTGCCAACATTATTCTTGAACTCCTTCAATGCCTCTTCAATTGCCTTCTTGACCGCGTCGAAATCCTTCTTCCTCGCCCGAATGGATACCTTGTCCTCATTCAAAGCATACAGGCCCTCGAGAATCAGCCCCTTGAGCACGTTCTGGTATTTCTTGGCATCCTTGGACGCAACGTTGGAGATCTTGTCGCGGGCTTGCTGAAACAGGTCGTTGAGAAGCTCCTGGCGAGCGGAAAGGACACGGAGACGGGTGCGGTTGGCGAGAGTGGAGCGGGTGATCTGTTGGGACATGGCAGCCTGCTTGAACTTCTTCTCGTAGAGCGAGTCGATGGCGGCGGTCTCCTGGCGGACAAGCTTGGACTTTTCGATTGCGAATTCTTCGTCGGCCTTGAGTTGGATTTCACGGGCCTTCTCCAGCGCTTCTTGCCGGATGAAGGCCGTCATCTTGCGGAGCTCGCCCGCAACCTGTTCGTAGACTGGATGAGCTCGGTGAACCTGCATCCATGATCGGTGCCAGAGCATACCTGATCATCAGAGAGAGCATGGCTTTGCGACATTTTGAAAGCTTTGTATCAAGGTTTCGGTATTAAGAACAAAGGAGGTTGAAGCGTCGAAATGCCAAATGGTGGGGAGTTGAGCTTTCTGATGCGGAGTGCTTGCTGGATGGGCGACCAAGGAGCTAAGGTCAGCATTGCTGTTGATAAGGTCCCACAAGGAACAAGCTGCATACAGATTGGGATCAGACTGGACAAGAGATCATGCTTACCTTTCGGGAATGCTATGAAATGTCGGGAAGGGGAGATGTGACGCGATATCGATACTATTGCAGAAGGGCAGGTGGACGGAGACGGTGTTGGCACTGGCACGAAGCGGATCTGCTGACGATTGGGTTACTTGTCTTTGTCTTCCCGCCGCCCATGAGGTCAGAACCTCGACTCAGACCCTGTGTTGGTTCAATATTAATTTACTCTTGATCTCCATCACCACGGAGCAGATACTCGTCTCGGTTCTTGCGTCCGCTCAGAATTGGATATTATTTAACTATCATGGCGCCTTTATTTGGATAACTGCTGGAACCTCTTCTCTCATGCCCTGTTGCTCTCCTTCATCCCCCTCTTGGCGACCAATGCATCAGGATACCCGACCATGGGAAATCTTGGTGACCTGTCGCCCCAGGGTAGTGTCGCGGTATGATTCAAACAGGCTACTCCCCGTAGAAATGTCGCTTGACCCTTCTACTGACACCGGGATGCGAATAGGTCGGGGTAATAGTCGGCTTGATTTCGACCAGTCTCCAAGCCATCGGGTTGACACTACAGCGCAAATCGCATTTACTCGAGGACGAGAAACATCCCTATGACATACGAAGACCACCATATAAGCGTCGAAGATGGCAGGTGCGCAACATGGACTTTCTCTGGACACTCGAATGACGGAAGATCTGATCCCCTTTTAGCTAGGAATGCTAATGTTCGTTGTTTCGAACATTGTGGGGAGTACGATCCAAATCACTACACTTCCGCTTCCAGTGCTCTCAACTCTCCAAGCGGTTAGTCTCCTCTTTTCTTCTGCAGCAGGCGGTAGAGACTTGCTAAGCCAAACGATAGTCGGGACTTGTTTTCAACACGATCTTCGCCACTTTAGTCCTCGGCGAAGCGTTCACCAGGTATTCCTTTATCGGTACGATCCTGGTCTGCATTGGTGCAGTCTTGATAGCTGTATTTGGCGCTATAGGGGAGCCGGCGCATAGTCTGGATCAACTGCTGGAGCTTCTTCAGCGACGCAATTTCATACTCTGGATGGTGGGGACAGCCGTCATTGTGCTGGTCATTCTGCTCGTCTCAACATCGCTCAAACTTGTCGCCTCTCCGCACCGCTCAAGGCATACAAGTATTCGACATACCTGTACTCCGCATATACCAATGGCCCCGAGCCGTGTAAGGCTGATCCGCGGTCTATGCTATGGTCTGATCAGTGGCATTTTGTCAGCTCACTCCTTACTTTTAGCGAAGTCAGCTGTCGAGCTTCTTGTCCGAACGATTGTGGATCGCGTGAATCAGTTTAATCGATGGCAGTCATGGGTGATTCTGCTCGCAATGATCTTCCTTGCACTGACACAATTGTATTTCTTACACCGTGGCTTGAAGTTGTGCAGCACGAGCATTCTTTATCCTTTCGTATTCTGCGTCTACAACATCGTCGCTATCTTGGATGGTTTGATCTACTTCCGCCAACTGTCCCAGCTGGCAGGTTTCCACGCCGGCCTGATTGCTCTTGGAACGGTTGTTCTGCTAAGTGGAGTGCTTTGTCTCTCGTGGCGATTGGAGATTATCGACAGCCATGCGTCTGTGACCGTCGTTGGCCCTTCTCAAACCGGATTGGGTCCCGGTATGGCTATTGTTGAGGAGGACCCGCATTCTCCTCGGGAAGTTGGCGAAGGGGACGAAGAATTGCACATCGGAGAGCGACAGCCTCTCTTGCAGGCATCCCACCCACCGCACGGGTCCCTTCATGGGCGGACACCCAGTTTACCTTTGTTTTCATCGATTCCTCAACAAACCCCCACTGCTGACATTGACCCGGCCTCCATCTGGGCTGAGCTGGATGACTCGGACTACGAATACACCGGTACGGGTCCCCTCTGGCAACCCCGTCCTCGAAGCAGCACCCTGAGGGAAAGTGTTCTCCGTGGCCCTCGGCACTCTACAATTGGCGCAGTCGGCCAACCTACCTTGACAAACCGTAGAAACGCCCGCTCAGTCTACGAAGGACACCACCAGCGAAGAACTTCAGTCCCGGGCCCCGACAATCGACAATCTCTCCAAAAAAGAAGCACCTACTTTGGCGCCTTCCCAGGTAACCACTCAATTCGCTCCATCGGCTACGGCACATCGGGTGAGGGCGCGCGCGAACGCGAACGCGGACCAGAAGGATCGAATCACCCCATCTCATCAAGTAGCGGTCGCGAACCACTCCAACTCTCGACCACTCCATCCAGCGGCGGCCCCCTTGCAGGCTCGAGAAACGCCTTAGCCCAAGCGTGGAGAAGTGGCCTACGTTATCTCTCGCGGTGGACAAGACACCGCCCACGCACTGGATCCGACTCACACGATCCTCTACTTGACTCTTCCCATTCCCCTTTACCTGACGGCTGAAGAGCCTATGCTGCTATTGCTCATATGTTGCCTAGAGATTTCGACCATTTGATCTCATTTTGGCGCTTTGTTGGCCATGACTGGTTTCCTTTTGTACAATACCCCAGTATATACTCAGTAGTGCATTTACTCTTGCTTGTTTAGCTTGATTCAATAAGAGATTTAAAGTCGAATTAGTCGGCATTGGCATCATGTGATAATGCTACCTACTTGGTAATAAATCTGTCGCTCTTTGAGCTTGGCTTCTTCTATCCATGTGGGTATAGCAGTACCCACAGTGACACCTGTTTGAGGATCTACAGGATCCATGATAACCTGTCGTCCACAGACAGGGCAGGTGCTAATGATCAAAGCGTAAGGTCATTAAATGCACTTAGGAACTCTAGCAATTATACTTGGGCTGGGTAATTTAATTTGGGACTAGAGCATATTAATGAACATCGTGATAGACAAAGAGAAAGGCTTAGCTCCATTTTCTCCGTACCATACATGTCGTACTTCCTACCCGATGAAAACCATCCATCCATATCATATCATTTACTCAATCAGATAAAGTCAGTTCCGCGCCTTTCTCCAAAAACCCCGCTCTACATTTGGATCAAATTTGACCATGACCCGAAGTGAGTAGTCCAGCGACATTGGGACGAGGATGCGAAGGAAAAGCGCAGGACGCAGAGGGGAAATCAAACAAAACACAATAGAGAATCGATCAAAGCACACCAGACAGATTATATCAGATGAAAGAAAACGAATAAATGAGCTCCCTTCGCCAACGAAAAATCAGAGATAAAGAATGGGAAAAAGCACCGGGAACACCGCCACCTCCACCGTCGTCTAGGAGATGATTAGGAGATGATGAACGGGAAAGGAGAGTGATTGTTTTGGAGCGAGAGTGATGTGCTCGTATCCATTATAGTGCGAGATAAACTTTTTTTTTTTTCCTTTCTTTTTTTTCAATTCTCTCGGGTTGGATGTCGATATAGTGGTTTTGTTACTCGCCGTGACGGGGGAGACCACAAAAGACGGATCTCGAAAAATCAACTCTTGCGCATCAAGAATCGACGGGTATCAAATAGGGTAGGGCAGAGCGGGGTTACAGATGCTGCAGGCAACAATGAAGGCAAAATACGGACCACCGAACCGCTCTCAGATCATGCTAGGTATGCAAATAAGAACCCCATCTACGCAGTGGGTTGGTGCTGAGGGGGCATTCGATTGCCCACAGGCATGCCGGGGTACTGCCCACCAGCCTGTTGTTGCTGCTGCAAGCCCTGATAATAGGCCATCTGCTGCTGCTGTTCGTTCGTCATGTAGCCTGGGTGCATGCCCGCAGGACGGGGAATATTCGACTGTTGAGGGTTGACATTGGCGTGATTAACATCCTCGGGCGTCTCTGCTGGCACCTCCGGAGCTTCAACGCCATTTTCGTTGGTGGCGGGATCGGGAGCGTTGAGGCAAGCCTGATGTGGAATTGGTTAACTATGCTGGTCCCAGACCGAACGTGCTCTGACAACTAACCTGGATGAGATTCTTGCCCTCGGCCTTCGTCACCAGTGGTTGAAGCTTGGGAGTGGTGAAAGTGTAGACGAGACCGGTTTCGGACACGACGAGCAACAATACTTGAGTACCTGTGAGGACGGAGAGCTCATACGCCTGTTTTGCGATCGCATTGAACCGTCAGCAACTGCCCAATGTAGTTGATTATACGAAACATGTTTTGAACAAAAAGACTCAAATCGTAAAACAATCAAGTTTAAAAAAAAAAAAAAAAAAACAAGCGGATAGAGAACGCAAGAGACTCGAGAAACAGGTGATAACCGCGGGTAGGGAGACGCGAAAGTACGCACCTTCTTCATGATACCCGCCTTCCGCTTGGAGAAGGTGATGTGGCGACGCGACTTATCTTGAATGAACTTGATCTCAATCTTTCTGCGCTCGCGACCAGGCTTGTCATCGTCATCGTCATCGTCTTCTGCGCTCATTCTCGAGCGCTTGGGACCGCGGTTGTCAGCGGCGCCATTGCCGGCGGCCTGCTGCAGGTCGTCCTGGGTAGGAGAAGGGTTCTCCTCACCGACGGCGGTGATGTCGGCCATGATGGATCAAAAGTAGGTGATAAAAGGGCACGAAAAAGGATTAATCGAGTTGAGAAGCGAGTAATGGTAGAACCCTGGGGGTTGTGAACACGAATGCCGAAAGAGGAATGATGCTTTTGAGGGGTGGAAGGATGACCAAATCGAGTAACGCGTTTGCTTCGCAGGGTTTGGGTTCAGGACGAGGAGGAAAGAAAGTCGGGAGGAGAGTCGAAGAAGGCAAAGTGCCGGTTGGGACAGGCAGGCGGTCAGTCACGTGAACGAGTGGATCTGGCAGTATCCACGAGTCAATACAGTACCGTTACAACGGAA